CAAACGCAGAAAGCTGGCTCTGGTGGAGGGCAGGCACTGTCTTGTCCCTCTATTCCAATGTTGACAGGCAAGACCTATTCTAGGCTGAATGTGGTGTCTTCGAGGTGAGAATTCTGTTTGCAGGGCATACGCTCCAGGTAGCAGCCTGGGACTCCTTGGGTTTTTACATTCAATACACCAGTGTGAGAGGGATTCTGTAAGAGATATGACACGTTTAGAATCTTGGCTCTTGCCAGCGTTGGAATGGAGCGGCAATGAGAGGCTGAACCCCAGAGGCACCGTGCATTGCGTTCTGCACAGTGGGCAAAGAATTGCAGTTGAGTGAGTAGTGAATAATATTGTATGAATTAAAGATCTTTAGAGAACGTGTGGTTGCCTCCTGGATTTTGTTTCATGGGTCATATCTATTTTCTGTGATTCAGTCACTGCTCAGCACTGAGGCAAACAGACCAGTGTATGGACAGAAACAGTCTAATACAAATGCAGTAACAACAGAGGATGGCCACATCTGAAGTCCAGCACAATGCTTTTTTGGCAGGGGATGTAAGGTCACTTCGTAGGAGGTTAACACTGATGGCTGCTCTTCTGTCAGGAGTTGAGGAAGGATTTAGCTAGAGCAGGCTTGGCCAAAGGGGCTTCTGTTGGCCAGATCTGGCTCACCAAGCTGTTGGATCTGACCCACGGACACCTTGCTGCACCTCCACCAGACCTGGGGACAGGGAAGCACATAGTCTCCACCTCCCCTTACCAAGGATGTGTGGTGGCTAGAGAGAAACACCAGCCTCTAGCCATCGGGGCTTTTTTTGCGCAAAACACCTTTTAGCTGTCTGCACTGGCCCTCTTGTGCAAATACATTTGCACAAGAGGGCTTTTTCCCCGAATGGGAGCAGCATAGTATTTGCGCAAGAACACTGACAATCTTACATTAGATCGTCTGTGTTCTTGCGCAAATTCAAGCGTTTGCGGAAAAACTTGCCAGTCTAGATGCAGCCCCTCAGTCCCAGCACATGTCTGGTCCCACCAGCTGACCCCAGGCTGCCCTGCTGTGGCTCTGCCTTTGAATTTGGAGCCAGCACACATGCTGGGACTGAGCCTGCCTTCCGGCTCCAATTTCAAATGCAGAACTGCAGTAGAGGCAGCCTGGAAGCAGGACCAGCCATTGGGACCTGGTGCATAGAATCATAGAACCATAAAGCTGGAAGAGACCTCAGAAGGTCATCAAGTCCAGTCCCCTGCCCTAGGCAGGACCAATCCCAACTAAATCAACCCAGCCAGGGCTTTGTCAAGCCAAGACTTAAAAATTTCTAGGGATGGAGACTCCACTACTTCCCTAGGTAACCCATTCCAGTGCTTCACCGCTCTCCTAGTGAAATAGTTTTTCCTAATATCCAACCTGGACCTCTCCCACCGCAACTTGAAACCATTGTTCCGTGTTCTGCCATCTGTCACTACTGAGAACAGCTTTTCTCTAGCCTCTTTGGAACCTCCCTTCAGGAAGTTGAAGGCTGCTATCCCCCCTCACTCTTCACTTCTGCATGCCAGAACTGAGCCCCTCTGCTGGCTTGTAGCTGTGTAACAATAGGATATTTAACAGCTAGGCTGTGTCTAGACTGGCATGATTTTCCACAAATGCTTTTAACGGAAAAGTTTTCCGTTAAAAGCATTTTTGGAACAGAGCGTCTAGATTGGCACGGGGGCTTTTTTGCAAAAGCACTTTTTGTGGAAAAGCATCCGTGGCCAATCTAGACGTGCTTTTCCGCAAAAAAAGCCCTGATCGCCATTTTCGCGATCGGGGCTTTTTTGCAGAAAACAAATCTCAGCTGTCTGCACTGGCCCTCTTGTGCAAAAGGGACTTTTGCCTGAATGGGAGCAGCATAGTATTTCCGCAAGAAGCACTGATTTCTTACAGTAGGAAGTCAGTGCTTTTGCGGAAATTCAAGCGGCCAGTGTAGACAGCTGGCAAGTTTTTCCGCAAAAACAGATGATTTTGCAGAAAAACTTGCCAGTCGAGACACAGCCCTACAGTTTTAAACTATTCTTAACATTCCTATCTCCATGAATTGCATGCAAGCATCTTGGGATTAGGGCAGCATAGCTAAACATCCACAAAGGAGATAATGCCTGTGTTAAAGTGCACAGTTAACTGTATCCTTAACTCTGGTCATCTGAAGAAGTTGGCTTTGCCCACGAAAGCTCATGATCCCATCTACATGTTTTGTTAGTCTAAAAAGTGCTACCAGACCATTTGTTGTTTAAGTTTATCCTGTACCCTATAGAGAGTCTGTGGTGTTCCCATATCCAATAAGTAAATGCTTATTGGATAGTCAAGTAGTCACTCAACTAATCACTACACCCCCCTTGCTGCCTGTATCAGAGAGGGGATGACCGGGAGCCAGTGCTGAAGGGAACCAGATTTAAGCTGGTTTCCCTCTCTCCTCCCCAGCACCATCTCATTGGGAGGCAGAGGCATAGCAGGGAAACAGCATGAATGGGAGCTGCTTCTGTCCCCGATGGCACCAGTTCCCACTGCCTGTGCTACTGCTTTTGAAATGTATAAGAACCCTTTGGGACTCTTATATGTTTCAAAAGCAGAAGTGCCGGACTGTGCATGGAGTAAGTGAGACTCCCAACTCGCCCCATGCTCTCTGCAGTGCACCCTTTTTGCTGCCTCTGTGAGAGGTTACAAAGGGGAACAGGAGTTGGTGCTAGGGGTAGACAGCTTAAATGCCAGTTCTCCCCCTCCCCCCCCAGTACCATCTCCATGCCTCCTGCTCCCCCCACTGCCTCTATCAGCCCTTTTCTGCAGGGGTCCCAGTGAGGAGCTGGGCCTCCTATGGACAGGGGCTGTTGCCACCAAGTAGCCAGGGATGGCCATAGACAGTGGCCCCTTGCCCAAGACCAGCCTTGGCCACTGCAAGTAGGGGCTGTTCCAGCACCAGCCCCTGTTCGTGGCGGACAGAACTGTCTGCTACAAACAGAGGCTGCTGGACTCAGCGCAAGCCAGGACTGAGCAGTCCCAGCTCATGCTGATTGCTACACTTCTGCATTTTAAATGTAGTAAGAGCTCAGTGGCTCTTATATTTAAAATGCAGAGAAGAAGCACAGGTGGCTCCGAAGCCGGCTCCTGGAGCTACCTCCGCTGTGGCTCTGCACAGCAGCACACAATTTGTATCGACTATATGATTAGCCAGGTAATCGCATTACAACATTCTTATTCCCATACAGTCCATTGGTTGTGGGTACATGCCATTTTGGATAACATGATGCATCTTGTAGATTTTTCTAGAGTCTTACGTGCACCTACCTGTGCTGCATCTTGTCAGTCATACTGGTGTGGTCCACCTTCATGAATTTAGGGTGGGATTTTCATAGATTATGAAACCAGAAAGGACCGTTGTAATAAGGACCTGGTTGCACTTCATAATATAGGCTAAAAAAACTTCCTGCATTAATTCATGTTTGAACTAGAGCAAGGGTATTCAACGTGCAGCCCACAGCCTGTTTGCAGCCCGTGGTGGGGTTTGGGTTTACATGGGGCCCAACATGTGGCCTGCGGGTGGGAGCCAAAACAAAAAAAGGAGTCAATATAATGGGCTTCTGTTGAGCTGCGGTATAGTAGTTAAATTCCTGGACTGTCATTGCTCATTAAAAGTGCTGTCCTATGGGTGGAAATCAGGTAAATATTGCATTTTATTATTATCAGCAGAACTGACTGAAATGGGGCATGTGTGTTGTGTAGTCTTTCCTTACTCTTTGTATTCATGCCCATCAGTGTGAAAGAAGCTGTTTGCATATATATTTGCACGTATATGCAACCACACTTAAGTTGCGGCCCTCGGCATGTGTATCATTGTGGCTCCTGGGGCTTCCAAAGTTGAATAGCCCTGAAGTAGAGCAGACCTGTGGGGAAAACTTCCGATCTTAATTTAAAGATGTTTAGTGATGGAAAATCCACTGTAACTATTGGCAAACTGGGCCAATGGTTAACTATTCTCACCTTTAAAAAAAAAAACCTTCATCTTCCAACCACTGGATCTCATTATGCCTTTGCTTGTTTGAAGAGCTCTCTATTATCAAATCTCTGTTCCCTGTGAGGGGGTGCTTACAGACTGGGATCAAATTATTCCTTAAAGTTCTCTTTGATAAGATAAACAAACAGCTTGGTCTCCTTGACCCTTCCACAGTAAAGCCCAGTTTCCTATTATCATGCGCATGGCCTGGGAATTAGCTGCCTGGCTCTCATTGGCATTCTATAGGAGTTGAATATCCAAAGGCATTGCAGTGCTTGAAGATGCAGATTGATACTTTTGAAAATCCCTCTATACATCTAAATATCTTTAAACAATCCAGGTCTGACTCCATTAGGGCACTTTGAAAATACCTTAGTAAATTCTAGCTCCTTTCTAGTGTACATTCATAATTTTGTTTGAACCCCATTCAAGGCATTTTAAATGTCTTAATTTAGGATTTAAATATTAATATGGTCATTCAAATTCTCATAGTGATACCTAGCAAATTCAGATGTAAGTTATTTATTCCCAACTGCTGGAAAGTGGGCTAATGTGTGGTAGAAACTACCATCTGAAATGGTGGTGGCAAGGAAAAGAATGAAAAATGCTTGTACGACCAGAGTTCCTTATAGAAAGGGTTAAACCATTAATCTTATTAGTATCTTACGGAGCTAGAACGTCGCTGTCTCCAGCCTGCACTGTATAAGCCCAGTATAAGCCCAGTCTGATAAGTAATCTGCTTTGTCAGCCCAGGAGGGCAGAGGATCAAGGACTGATGCAGCCTGTGGCAGTGGGAGGCTGGGGGCAAGTGTAGGGAGCACAGCGCACACAGCATGGAAGCATTGCTGTGAAATCAAAGCTGTCAACTGCCTGGCTGTCTTTGGTGGGCTTTCGGCAGTGACATGCCACGCACTGTGAGGCAGCTGGGGAAGAGACGCGCAAGCCTCTCTGCCAATCTGAAAATTGGGGACCACCACCGGCGTTGTTGGACCCCCGAGGAGGAAGAAGTCGTCTTCCCTTTTGCCCAGGACAGTCTAGTGAAGCAGTGGAGTTCCATGCATAATGTGACTGAGCAGGGCCAGGAGAAAAACCAGGCTCCTCCCCAACAGAGCAAATGGTTCCTCAACATCAACGTAGGGGGAAAATCTTTCCAGATCGCTTACAAAATGGCTGCCCGTTACCCCATCACCAGAATTGGGAAGCTGGCCACCTCCACGGACCCCACAAAGAAGCTGAAACTTTGTGATGACTACTCAGTGCAGAGGAACGAGTACTTCTTTGACCGAGACCCTTTAATCTTCCATTACATCTTCCACTTTTACCACAGTGGTGTCCTGTGGATCATGGATGAGCTGTGCCCTGCTAACTTTGTGGAGGAAATTGATTATTGGGGCATCCATCTGAAATACTCCCAGCGGTGCTGCCGGATCCTGTTTGAGGAGAAGCAAGACGAGCTCAAGGAATACCTGAAAATCCAGCGAGAGCTGGAGGCGGAGCTCGAACCACTGGAGCAAGAGGAGCACTTTGAGGGCAAATGTCTGGGGGAGTTCCGGAAAGCTGTCTGGAACCTCATTGAGAAACCCTTCTCCTCCATCCCTGCCAAGATCATTGCTGTCATGTCCAGCTTCTTTGTGCTGATCTCCATTGTGGGCATGACACTCAGCACAGTGGAGGAGATGCAGCACAAGACTGGAAAGGCATGCATGGAGCAGCTGGAGACCATCTGTGCCATCTTCTTCACCTCTGAGTACCTCATGCGGCTCATTTCCACAGCCACCTTCCAGAAGTTCCTGCGGGCAGCTTTCAATGCCATCGATCTGGTGGCCATCCTGCCCTTCTACATTCAGATTCTCTTTGAGCACCTGGATGAAGGCGATGCACTTTACCATGAGGAGCGGCACAAAATGGCGAGTGTGGGCAAGCTGGGCAAAGTCCTGAAGCTCATCAAACTCATGCGGATTTTTCGCATCCTCAAGCTGGCTCGCCATTCCACTGGCCTTCGGGCTTTTGGCTTCACCATGCGCCAGTGCTACCAGCAGGTGTGCTGCCTCCTCCTCTTCATCGCCCTGGGTGTCTTTACCTTCTCAGCTTTGATGCACTCAGTGGAACATGATGTCCCTGGCACCAATTTCACCAGCATCCCTGATGCGTGGTGGTGGGCAGCGGTAAGAGGCAGTCATTCCTCACAAAGGGAAATGGGTGGATGGGTACCCATGGACAACTGAACCTGCTGGGGCTGAGCTCAATGTCGTAGGAGCTGCTGGCCAGGAGCCAGAGTCATGCCCGAGTCTCCCCCAGCATAAGCAGTAACTTCTGATCTCAGGCCTGAGGTGGCCTGAGATTCTGCCAACTCTGGAAGGAGAAATCAATGACTGGAGTGTTGCTGTCTGAGTCCCGAAACAAGCTGGTATTAGGAAATGAGACAGCTTTCGAAAGGGTTCACAACTGTGCTGCCACACTCCAGTCCCTAGGGAGCTGTGCCAAGTAAGCATCCCCCACCCTGTGCCTGCACCCCTGCCCACCCAGACCCTACACCCCTACTCCCTAGCCCACTCCTGCACCCAAACTCTGCACCCCCGCTCCTCCCACACTTTACCAGCCTTCCAGACCTAGCAACCCCCAATCCACTCCTGCACCCTCCCTCCCATCCAGACCCCAAGTCCCCTCCCTGACAACCCCCTCCCACTCACTGAACCCCTCATTTTTGGCCACACCCCAGAGCCTAGGGGCCCCACAAAATCTACTAAACCAAGCCCCCCTAGAAACCTGAATTACTGGGGATTTCACAGGTTGGACGGACACTTGTCAAAGGTGGCTTAGGGTTACTCATGCTGCCTCAGTGCAAGGGGATGAACTAGATGATACCATGAAGGCCCTGATTCTATAACTCAGCACTGAAGGGATTCAGCCTTTCTCCTCAGTGCAATGGGGAGCAATTATCAGCTTGAGTGTCACTGTTAGCCCAGGCTCAGAACTTGACTGACTTGGGAGCAAGGGCTTTATATGTGGCAAGGAGGAGGGTTAGGGACAGCATCCAACTCAGAGCCCACCTAACTCTGCAGTGGAGACAGTCCTGTGAGTGTGGGTCAGAGACGGGGAACTCATGGTTTGGGGAGCAGCTTTGAGGGCAGTGGGCTAATACCTGGACTCCCTGAGCCTGAGAGACACATTGTCTGGTGCCCAGAGGGTGGGGATGAAGGTGACATGGTCTGCTGGGTGTGAGAGAGGCAGGCAGGCAGGGGAGAGGGACCCTTACACTGTCACAGGGTTTGGTCTAAGGGAGACTTATGGAGCAGTCCCTAACTTGGGTGGCCCCCTATGGCTGTGACTTAGCTGTCAGGGGCAGGCTGTCATGGCAGTAGGGGGGCATGTCTCAGTGGTGGGGTCTGGCTTGGTGGCTGAGCAGGTCCAGCACTCAGGGGGATTGATAATTTCCCTCTCTTGACCCCCCTTTCAGGTCAGTCTCTCCACAGTGGGCTATGGAGACACGGTGCCGGACACAGTACTGGGCAGGATGGTGGCGTTTGGGTGCATCTCCTTTGGCATCATCCTCAATGGGATGCCCATCTCCATCCTGTATAACAAGTTCTCTGATTACTACGCCAAGCTGAAAGCCCACGAGAACGAGACCAGCCTTTCACTCAAGCTCACCAAGAAGATTCGCTTTAAGGAGCGAGCCCTGAGGAAGCTGGCTGAATGCTGCCATGCTGATGCCCATGATCACCGCTGAATGGGCCACAGGACCAGGCTACTCTGAACACCTACCAGGCCACTTGACCCCCCACTAGCCAGGGCCATCCAATGTGTCTCCCTCTCAGCCCACCTGACCTGACTACCCCGTATCAACTTGGTCAGCAGACCTCCCAGCATGGATACCCTACAGCCAATGGGGCCACCCAATGTGGCTACACCACACTACACGGCCATCCATCTGGTTAGTCTATCCCCACTGCTCTAGTAGGCCTTCTGGCCCTGTGCACCTACTTATGTGCCCTACAGGACACTTGGTGTGAGGGAGATGTCAGAGAGCAGCAGGGTAGGCTGGCATTTGCAGTATGATACTGCTGCAAAATTGTCCAGGCTGTTTGGAGGGAGGGAGCAGCGAGATGACTGAACCTCTGCTGTGCCCTACTGGGAATGTCTTGCTCGTTCCTAGACAGCCCAGTGCCACAGCTTGGCTGCCAGTGGGGCAGGAGCTCAGAGAAGAGACTCAGAAGGGGGTCTGGACCTAGAGGGACAGAAGGAAGAACTGAAGCTGTCCAGCTTGGCTAAGGGAGCTGGGGAGAGCTCTCCAGACTTGAGAGGAAGCTGGGAATTAGTGTGAGCCCCACCTCTGGCCTGGGGGGAGTGGCTAAGTTAGGGTAAAGAAGGAATGTACCTGGGGTCCCCAGTGGGACACAGGAATTCAATGCTCCAGGCCAGTCCCAACATCAGCCAGTGCCCCCTTTTCTAGACCAGCCAGGCTCACTCTAGCTGATCAGCTTTTGCCTACGCGAACATAGCTGGTGGGGAGCTAAAGGTTCCTCACACTCACCATTTTATTGCATGTTTTGTTTCCTGATTAGTGTTTTTCTGAAAGCCCCGGCTCTGCCTGTGTGGGGATTGTGTGAGAGTCTCAGCTTGCACCTATGTGAACACTGTGATAACGCCAACCCCCTCCCAGAAGGCCAATAAATGAACCCAGAATTTATCATTTAAAAAAATTGAATGATTTTTAAAACAGCCTCGGATTGGGAGAGTCTGAGGCTGGGGAGAGGAGACACCTGCTACGCACTTGCCATCTTCCTGAACTGGGTTGTGAAGGGGAGGGGAATGTTCACCTGCCCCCCCTCCCCTGCCCCATCCAACGGAGCACAGCTGGTGTGAAGGGGCAATGAGACACTTTCCTTTTCAGGGCTGCAGTAGGTGACACTCCTTGGAGCCAAAGCAGGAGAAGGGAAGGAGCTATCACTGAGGAACCAGACATGCTGGGCTTCCCCCAGGGGGTGGTGAGGTCTGTGCCACCCCCTCTGGCTCAGTCTAGCCCATGTCTCCAGTGGCAGTTCCTGAAGGAAATATATTGGGGAAGGCTCCTGTGGTCAAGTTTGAGTGGTGTCTAGAGGCAGAGTGAGACAGCTGCAGCTTCCTGTCTTCTAGGGCTGCTTGCTCCTCTGGGAACCCCACAGCTTGGGACCTTTAGAGGGACAAGTTCTGGCTATTTGCTCTCCTATTCCTACCTGGTGCTGTGCTGGGACCCAGGCAGGTGGGAAACCAGCTGAGGGGACGGTAGAGAAAGCAACCCTCCCCCTCAAATGGCTGGGAGAGGAAACTTGCTGATCCTGGGCCCCCTGTTAGTGTGGGACATTTCAGCTAAGGTATAAGAGCAGGAGCAGGGGTGGGCTGAGCTCACCCGCCCATTCCATATAGGGCCGCAGAACATTGGAACCATTGGCCTGGACCTTCTGACACTGTAGACCGCGACCCCTTGAACAGCCACCAGATGAAAGGAAACCCAACTCCGAGAAGGTCTCGCCTATGTTTAATAGCTACTCTCAGTTCATTTGACAGGTGATATATGGCAGCAATGAACAGACATTTACAGGCACACTGTACAGGAGTTTTCCATCATATATTAGTGCTTTTGCTATATACATATTATACAGCCTTGCACGGATGCCTTTCCGTGAACAATGCTTCCCGCAGGTTCTCTCCACCCCACACTGTGGGACTGCAGGCAGGAAGGGGCCTGGGAAATTCAATTCCCTGAATTTTATTTCAAATGCACCAGACCCACAGCTTTTGAAAGTGGGCTTTAGCCCTGTGGCAAAGGTCACCCAAGGGGAGCAGGTGCACACAGAAGGATCCCCAGCTTAGTTCTTATCTTTAAGCATTTCCCAAGTGTTTTAGACAAGCTAGGCACAGTTTTAGCGTAATTGCCCCACTGTGCCAAGTGTTGGCAGCTTGAGGCATGGCTTTCTCCCAGGACATGATCTTGAAAGTGGAATGAAAATGCAGGTTCCTGAGCAGGGCAGCACAGCCCAGGCTCAGGCTGGCTCTTGGCAGGTTGGCTCCTGGGAGCCGATGAAATGTTTGCATTTGAGGGAAGGAGATTCCTTGTTTACCTGGCTCTTCCTTGCCATTGCCATTGATATCTTCCTACGGGATAGTATCAATGGCAGCCACAGCTCCCAGCCACCATGTCATCGTACTGTTTAAGGACAACATTCTCATCATCATCGAAGTAGAGGAGGTTGATGGAGAAGAGCTTGTCTGGGACACAGCAGGGGCTGCCCACGCCTTGGCTCAGTTTGAGGGCATTGATGATGGACTGCACTGTGGCATGGTTTGTTGGCCTCATGTTCTCACCCAGAGGAAAGGGGCAGGACCCTTTGCAGTGATACGCATTGTAGCTTCTTGGGGAGATGATCCATCCTGACCATCCAATTTCCTCGAAGTCCACAGAGAGGAGCTGTCTCTGGCATGGCAGGAACCGATCCAGCGAGCGGGCATTCCTTACCCCGGTCACTTCTGGGGCCAGTGGTTCAGCTGGGACCTCTAGAGTCTGAGAGCTCAAATCTGCGGGGGAATAACGAGATCAGAATTGCATCTTATTGATGTGATACTGAAAGCAAGCTAGCAAGGGAGACCCGCCCCCTCCCTGACCAGACTGTCCATCTAGTAACTGCACCCCCTTCTCAAAAGTCCCACCCAGTGTCAGTCTGAAGCATTGAGCACCTTGGATCTGCTTCTTCTCTCACTCCCATAGCTTTAAATCAGGAGGGACAGCACTCAAGTCCACAGAATTACAATGGAGGAGAGAAGTGAGTCCAGAAGGATTGCATCCACCCTGGAGTAGACACAGCTTGAGAGAAAAGCCTACAAGGCTGCACCCAGATCCAAGCCTAGTTCTCTGTTTGTTCTGCAGCAGCTCCCCCTCACCATAGAAAGAAACTTCAAACCCTTCATGTGCCATTGTGAGCCCTGAGATGTTAGGAGGCTAGGAGAATCAGATTTGCTTTACCACATCAGAGAACTGGCCCATCCCAGCCTGTATCCCGGCTCTCACAATACCTCCAGGTATTGTGGGCAATACTTCCAGGCAGCCCTCCCTCTATGCCCCTGGCCAGTTCCATAGTGCTCTTTGGGAGGGGGAGGGATCTGATCCTTTTGGAGACTAGCTGATAACAATGAGCCAGGACATTTAATTAGCTCATCTCATGGTCATCCTCTTACAGCAGGAAATTACTCTGCTTGATCGCTGCCATAAGCTGGAGGGAAGTAGCTTTTCTTCCCATTTGTTTTAAATGTGCAGCTACCAATTCCACAGTGCCAGCCACTCCTGTTCCTCTTTCATTGGACAGCAGACGAACAAGGGTCTTTACGACTTTAACCTTTGCAAGTAGCTAGCCTGAAGGCTGCTCCCGGGTGCTTGTCAGGGGCAGGCTGGGGAGAGATTTTTTCTGTGTTATTTCACAGATGGGGAGGCTGACCAGGATGGAGAATTACAGTCCAGCTCTGCTCTAAGACAGGCCTTCACCCAAATGCCTCAGGGAAGGGAGTATGTCTCTGCCTCCACTTTCAGTAGCCTCACATTACAGGTGAAATTATTTCAGGTGCTGGCCTTGCCAGCTCACCCTGGATCACAGTCCCACTGGGCTCAGTCTGGCTCCTGCCTCACACTTGTGATGAACAAGAATCACGAGCGCTAGAACTTAACTGGTGAGGCCTGGAGCCATGGAAGCATCCAACTCCCCCTCTCCCAGCTGGCCTGGCCTCTGCATAGGTAGGAGGAGTCCAAAGTGACCTTAATCAGCAGGGCCCAGATCCTCCTGGGTATTTAGGCACCTAATTCCCTCAGAGGTAAGTTAAGCGCTGAAATGCCATTGCAGAGCTGGGCCCCAGCAGCCATGCCCCCAAATGGGGAGAGAGAGAACATGGTGGCAGTCCCATTGCAGAGCTGCACTTTATTCCTGCATTATTTCAGTGACTTCCCCATGGCACCTGACCTGGGAGGCTGTTGACAGGCAGAGCAGCTCCTCGCCTGCCATCATCAGTGAACAGAACCAGCATGGGCTTCTTGCTCTCATGGTGATCTCTCCCTGATGCAAACTGCACCATGCTGGGATCCACCGGTGCACCCCTCAAGCCATGGATAGTCACCAGCAAGCCGTGGTTACTGCTGTCCTCTTCCATCCAGTCACGCACCTGAAAAAAAACACACAATGTCATTAGGACCTGGGAAGATACAGAAGCCGACCCCTCACAGGCAGGAGACTGGGTACCTTTGTGTCCCCTCAAACCACTGAGACTGTCTCAATCCAATCCCTTCATCACCCCAGCCTTCCCAGGGAGCAGAGCAATAAAAGCCCCTGCCAGCCCTGCCTGGTGACAGCCAGCACACAGCCCAACAGTCGGAAGGAAGTGGGGCTTACCACCCCCTACTCCTCTGCTTTGCTAGGAGCTGGGATTCACGTGTGCTGTTGAGAGAAGTGATGCACTGAGCTGCCTTAAGCACAGCTCCACTGGGGGCTGCTCCCAGGTTGGAGTCAGCGCTCCACAGCCCCTGGCCTGTGGTAAAGCCACCCTGTGCTACTTATCAGCAAGGCTGATCTGTGGTAAGGCCACCCTGTGCTACTTATCGGCAGCTCACCCTCTAGTCAGAAAGCCTGTAGGTGTCACTTTGCCACAAACAGCCATAGGTGTGGTAGCTGCAGCAGCCCCAGTGGGAGGTTCAGGGCTCCATTGTGCAAGGTGCTGTACACACATGTGATAAGGACAGTCCTTGCTACAAGATCTCACAGCCCTATGGCCCTGCTTCTGCTGCTGAAAGCACTCAGGGCACCTCTGCATGTTCACAGGCAAGTCACAGGCCTGGGACCAAAGCAATCTACCATGTAAAGTTAGTCTGCTGTGGCACTCACCACAGCATGTAAGTGCTTTTGCCATGTAGGAAAGCAGGGCTCTGGTCTATCAGATAGTGGTCTCCTCTTTGTCCCTCCCACTTGGGTTCTACTGAAGGCTCACAGGTTTCTTGTTATACTTATCACAGTGTAAAGTCCGGGACTGGAAGTCTGCTTTGGAACTATGTTCTGTTAATGGCACTAGAGGGGCCATTTCGCTATGGTTCAAAAGCTGCTCTGTAAATAAGCTTTAACCCTGGCTGACCTGGTTAGCATGGCTCTGTGGAAACTCCTGCCAATCACCTCTACCGATTCAAAATCACGGCTTTGTGAAATGGACAGGTGTCAGGCTGTGATTGAAAGAGATCCAGCTAGCAGGGCTGCAGTGTCAGAGTAGCTGGGCCTGCAGATGCAGCCAAGGGGCTGGAGTGGGATCACTTTTTCAAATGTGTGCAAAGAAAAACCTTTGACAGACTCTGCTTTCTCCCCAGCACTTGCCCCATGAGGCTGTAGCAGCTGGAAGCCAAAGAAAGACATGGGGAGCTCCCCTGCTTTACTTTTAACGGGAATGACAAATGCAGCCACAAAGTAGGGGGAGGTTTTACTCTGCCTCCCTGTACACAGTTGAAGAAAGACACTTACAGCTTGTGTGATGCCAAACACCTCCCAGCCAGAGCCCTGCAGAGCGATAAGTCTGGCTGCCAGCAGCTTCTTCCCTTCAAAGGAATCCAGTTTATTCTTGTCCAGGACTTGATAGACGCTCACCTAGGACAGTGAATACAAGTTAGTTAGTACCAGGTGCCATGGGAAGAGAAAATCTCCTTGGACATCTATGTTTTAAAGTAGAAGAGGTGGGGGAAAGACAAAGTTAGTCTAGTCAGAAACCTGGAGCCGAAGGCCTAGTCTACCCAGAAACATTTAGAAACTGATTAAACGAGTGCAACTGATCACATGGACACTGAAACTGATTTAAAAGTGGTTTATATTGATGAAGCTTACTTCAGTAAAGATCCAGCTTTGCTGAGCTCAGGAGCCAAATCTCATGCTCAGTAAATGTACAAGGGTCACTCCAGATTCCTAGGAATGTCCCTGAGAGCCCGTTTACACAGAGTCAAGCATGCTTCCCAATTCTCTTTACCTGGCAGAAGTGATGCCTCATGTACAAAGGCCCCTCGGGCACCTTAGTCCGCAGTCGGAAGAGATGCAGTTCTGCTGTCAGGATCCTCTCATTCTTAGCCACACTTGACAGGACGAACAGGAAATGCATCTGATCACTGTGAACTGGACCAAAGGGACAGATTAGAAACCGTGGGGACCGTGTTTCAGTCACACTAGAAAGGAATTGTCACATGGACATATTCTAAGCACTTTACTCTGATGTTGCACATGCTCTGGGAGGATGCGTTTCATCAGCACATATGGTATACAGCAGAGCTACTCAACTTGGGAAGCCTCGGGGGCCATAATGATCCTCCCAGCACAGCTGCAACTTAAGTGTGGTTGTATATACATGCAAATATATGTGAAAATATATGCAAATAGTTTATTTCACACAGACGGACATGAATACAAAGATTATGGCAAGACTACACAACACACAGGCTCCATTTAAGTCAGTTCTGCTGATATTAATAAAATGCAATATCTACCCGATTTCCATCCATATGACAGCACTTTTAATGAGCAATGACAGTCCAGGAATTTAACTACTAAAATGCATATCAACAGAAGGCCATTATACTGACTACTTTTTTGTTTTGGCTCCCACCCATGGGCCACATGGCTGCAAAAAAAAGGGCTGCAGGCCGCATGCAACCTACGGGCTGCGTGTTGAGTAGCCCTGGTATACAGCTTACTCCCAGCCATCCCGTGGCTTCTAGGAGCCAAATACGCATCTCGGGTCCTGGGAAACTGCACCCAAACTCTAGCAGATCAGAATAAGCGAAGCTGTCAAGAGTTCTTACTTTTATCCAAGAAGCTGCGGACCGTGTTTCCCTCCAAGATGTCAGGGTCTTTGGTGATGCCATCAGCGCCTGCTACCGTGTTGTATAGGTCTACCATGTATTGCGGAGGCTGCTTGATATGGTGGGGAGAACGGGGAGGGTCTTCTATGCCAAATACTTCCAAAAGTCTCTTCAGCGCCTCTGTTCTCACATCTTCTGCATCCTCCTCTGGAAGGATATTGTGGGGGCTGGGATTGCAGCTTTGGAGCCTGGCAAGAAGCAGCAGCAAGAGGAGTCTCAGCATGGCTGTTCTTTAACCAGTCCCCCTGCACAGCTCCAGCCACTACCAGGTACCAGGTTTATAACACTGGGAAGGAATGAAATTAAGTCAAATATGCAAATGAGCCATCAGGAAGGGCAAAGGGAGCTAACTGCAGTGCTAACAAGGTGTGAAGCTGGGCTAGTGAAAGCTTTTCAGCAATTAACCCAGTACACAAGCTGAATGAAACAGGAAGCCCACTTGTGTACTCTTGTCATATGAGAGCAGAATGAGGGGTCTGGAGGGCCAGAAACAAGCAGGAAGAGGCGTCCATGTCCATTGTGGTAAGGCACTGACTGAGCAGAGTTTGCTCTCCATAGGAGACTAACTGATTCCTAATGACAGCATTAATGGGGCAAACAGGCGGACCATGGTGCTCAATAAAGAGAAATGCAAAGTACTGTACTCCACTTAGAAAGGAACGATCAGTTGCACACACATATAGAATGGGCAGTGTCTAGGAAGGAGTACTGCAGAAAGGGATCTAGGGGGTCGTAGTGGACCACAAGCTAAATATGAGTCAACAATGTGACACAGTTGCAAAAGAAGCAAACATGACTCCGGGCTGCATTAACAGGAGTGTCGTGAGCAAGACACGAGAAGTCCTTCTTCTGCTCTACTCTGCACTGATTAGGCCTCAGTTGGAGTATTGTATCCAGTTCTGGGCACCACATTTCAAGAAAGATGTGGAGAAATTGGAGAGGGTCCAGAGAAGAGCAACAAACAAAATTAAAAGTCTAGAAACCATGACCTATGAAGGAAGACTGAAAGAACTGGGTTTGTTCAGTTTAAAAAAGAGAAGACTGAGGGTATGTCTACTCTAGCTCGTTAATTCGAGCTAGGTAGGCAAATGAGGCGACCGGAGTTGCAAATGAAGCCCCGGATTTAAATATCCTGGGCTTTATTTGCATGTTCCCGTCCGGTCGCCATTTTGAAATTTCAGAGACACTCTTCCGTAGTTTCTGACATGACCCCAGCACCACCTTAGGTGCTGTAGAAAGCTCAGTGGAGGAGAGGGGAGACGTTTTCCATTAAAAGTATTTGCGGAAAAGAGCATCTAGATTGGCAAGGACGCTTTTCCGCAAAAGCACTTTTTGCGAAAAAGCATCCGTGCCAATCTAGATGCGGTTTTGCGCAAGAAAGCCCCGATCGCCATTTTCGCCATCGGGGTTTTTTTGCGCAAAAAAGTTTTTAGCTGTCTGCACTGGCCCTCTTGCGCAAAAACATTTCCGGAAAAGGGCTTTTGCCCGAACGGGAACGTCAAAGCATTTGTGCAAGAAGCGCTGATTTCGGACAGGAGAATGTCAGTGCTTTTGCGCAAAATCAAGCAGCCAGTGTAGACGCAGCCCAGGTGTTCCTGAAGCCACAATGTTACCTCAGTTCTGTCCATTCCTGTCTCTGAGGCACGCATTGTTCTCCATGGTCACCCCCAGAGTCTCTGTCCTGTTTCTGCTTCGCCCCATCCCACTCCCACTTCATCCTTTCCTAAGCCTCACCCCTCCTCCATCCCTCCCCTCACTGCACTCCTTGCCCAAAATCTCCTCCCCTGAGTGATATGAGCCAGGGGATTACTGGGGAGAGCCTAGCAAGGGTATGGCAGCAGCAGGCAGCCTCCCTACACTCACCATGATGGAAGGACCTGGAACAACCTAGCAGCCTGCTCTGTTCCAACCCACCACCCATCTCCCAGCTTGCTGTGGGCTGCTGGGTTGCTCCAGCTCCTACTGGAGTGGTGAGTACAGGCAGTAGGAGGGGGCGATCCCGCTACTGCCCCGCACCAGGCCCCCAGATAATCCCTTGGGCCTCTCTAGGCACTGGGGGTCCTGTCCATAGGACAGTTGTGACAGCCATCATGGGAACTCCTAAAGCACAGGGCCTAGGGTGGCCACCCCAAGATGGGACAGCTCTGGTTGTTGTGATCAGGCTCTTTCCTTTAAGATGGTGTGGGGTGGGGGTGAGGGTGGGGGGGTGGATGGGTGAATCTGCTGGCAATGGCTCTTTCTGCAGCACAAGTATCAAGGATGGATCAAGCTCTCGGAGCCCTCAGAGCAATATCTAATGCTGTCTGTAAAGAAGAGGAGTAAACCTGCTCAGGGTTAGAGACAAAGGCCAGATCCAAAGCTTATCTAGCCACATAGTTCCACTGAAACCTCTTTCTCTTATCCCATAGCTCAGAACAAAAAATGTTAGTAGGAGAAGGAATAACAAAGCACAGACTGACACAGCACAGGAAATGTATCTGGTTGTGCTACATAAGTCTGCTCCGCAGTAGCAAGTGGAAATATGTCAAGACCTTACCTTGCTCTCGCAGACAACACAGTTCCATATTAGGACATCTATATAATTCATCCAGGCCAACAGGACCCTCAATGCAGCACCCTGGAGAGCAGTAACAATATAAGGATAGTTAATATAGGGAATGTATCAATCACACTGGGATTAATGAGCTAGCCCCCTTCTTGTTTGCAGTGCACAATCTCAATTAAAGAGGCTGATGACGGCTTAGAGGAGTCCCTGTTATTAGGTTCTTGTTTTTTAGGCAAATGTTCCCCAAGCCCAGAAGAATAGTCCAGCAGGAGCTGCCATCTGACAGTGGGGAAAGTTAAGGTTATATGGTCATGGTATGTGTAAAACAGCATTTCACTGGTTCCCCGAGTAGTGGGAGCTGAGAGCCACTGCTTGCTGCAGCTTCCATTGGCTGGGAATGGTGAACCGCAGCCACTGGGGAGCTGGGCTCAGCTCTACCTGTGAACACTCAGGTAAATCAAGCATTTGGTAGCCCAACAGCAGCAAACTATGTCTGGCCTGCAAGCTGCTTACTGCCCAACCTTGCTGTAGTCTAATCCAAGCACCAGCCACTAGGCCTCACAGTGACGGTCACACTCTAGGGAGTTCTCTGAGTGTCTGGCCTGTGCTATAGAGGCTACCACCCTAAATTACCAGAACAGTTCCTTTTCACCTTAAAACTCAAGAGCCAAGGGGCTGGGGAAGGTACAAGTTCAGTGACTTGTCCAGGTAGCCTCTGCCTGCTGAGCTCTTCTTCTGCTGCCATCATTGCAAGCTGTTCTGTCCTCATCACCAATGAACGTGACTAGGCAGTGGCAGGCAAGGCAACCATGTGTCCTTCTCTGCTTATAGACCCAGGGTGAGCTGCTCTTCCTGACACTGTCACAAGGATTTCAGGGACACACTGCTTCCCCTCACACCAGTCATGTTCCCCACCCCCTTCCACCTGGATCTCTAACCTGCTCCCTCCCAGCCAGACCGCCTACCCGCTCACAGTCTTCAGTCTGTCAAGGGACACTACACAGAAGACAGAGCAATAGTAACAGGTTTTAAACTCCCACAGAAAGCATTAGCAAACTGCCTGGAAAACTCTAGCCAATGGGTGGGGGAGGGAGGAGGGAGAGTGTTTTGGCTGCTCTCAACCCAGAAGTACAAAGATGGGTTTGGAGCCGCTAACAATTTAGATTCTATTTGGTGCTATTTCATCCTCCTATGCCTCAGTTTCTCTATCTGTAAAATGGGGATTATTTATAGTTGAATATTTGTTTCTGTGTGTGCCTGTCACATACATGTCAAGATACAATGAAAAACATTTGTTCTCATTTGAGAACCCTGGACTAGACTGATTGACCATGACCCATCAGAGCACCCTGCTGGACTGCTCAGGACAGGGGATTAACCCTAAGTCTCCTTGGGGAAAATCTGTGTCTATAATATATTCTAATCTGATGTAACGAGGGTGACAGGACTCCTAATTAGCCAGAATACACTGTGAGCTAATCCAAGCAATTTGAGCAGCTTTTAATTAATTGACAGAAGGAAACTATTTCAGGCTCTCTCCTTCCTGTACACTCTTCCCTGCTGACAGGGTCAGGGCTGTTTGTCACACAAAGCAGTGCAGGTCTGGGACAGCTCAGATCCTACACATCAGGGAAGGGAAATGTCCAGATGGGCCGCTAGTCCAACACCTGCCCGCTGCCTCCCCCTCCTCCATTCCTTCTGTCTCCTTCATCCTGCTACTTTTGCCCCCTCTCTTGCTCCCCTCCCCGATTCCTTCCTCTGCCGCTGCTTCTCCCCATGTATGTTTTTATGGGGCATTATTTAGGTCATCTCATTTCAAGCACACTTTCTATGTGCATGTGTGTTTCTAAAAACAAAAGGACGACAAAGATGCTGGATCCTGTGGAGGTCAGTCCTGGGAAGGCCCCCTCACTGTCCAGCTGAACTGTCTCTGCTTTTTCACAGGACACACAGGCCTGCATTTGGCATGCAGTTATTCACACACTACATGGGAAGAACAAGGAGGCCCAGAAAAGCCCATATGAAGCCTTTTTAGGCTCTGGCTCTTACCAGGCCAGAGGCCACATTCTGGTTTTGAATTCACATGGGATCCCACGGGAGTCCTTAGGAGCCACAAATGCTTTGAGAAACAGACCATGGCCTGCAGTGTTTATTAAAAAGCTGCAAACCATTCAGGAGGCAGTTAATTTGCACACAGAGCCACTGTTTAAAATACCTTTAATTTATAAAATAGCCTTCTCTCATTTACATATAGTACAGACAGTCTGGCACAGGGTGGGCCTGGCAGGACAGGTGCTATTTGCATTCTCCCCATCCTGGATGTTCCAATCCCTCCCTTCTCAAATTCTCTAATAGCTCCCACACTGACAGTTCTGGATGGCAAAAACGGTCCGGATATGGTCACTGCGGCTCTTGAAGGTGTGTGTGTTGTACTGGTGAGGGATACAATGGCTGGAGGCACCTTCCGCCCACACAAGGCATTTCTCTCCATTCTGCAAATCCCTGCAGGTAAAACACCATATTATTTGTATTCTGGTAGTAACTAATATATATAAATAATAATAAAAGCCCAGCTCTCATATTGCATTTCATCAGCAGCTCTCACAGCTAGTTACAAGGAAAGTATAATTCCCCATTTTACAGATGGATATTGACTGGCCCAAGGTCACTCCGCAGACTAGCAGCAGAGTCAGGAATAGAAGCAGGTCTTTTGAGCCCCAGTCTAGTGTTCTACCCACTAAGATAAACTGTCTTTTTGCCTAGAAGCCCCAGTCAAGGACCAGCACATATTTGTACTAGATGCTGTACAAATATGGTTCCTCCATCTTCCAGCCCCAAAGAGCTCACAGTCTTCAGTCTGTCAAGTCTACACAGAAGACAGAGCAATAGTAACAGTTTTTAAACTCCCACAGAAAGCATTAGCAAACTGCCTGGAAAACTCTAGCCAATGGGGGGGAGGGGGGAGAGAGGGAGAGTGTGTTTTGGCTGCTCTCAACCCAGAAGTACAAAGATGGGTTTGGAGCCGCTAACAATTTAGATTCTATTTGGTGCTATTTCATCCTCCTATGCCTCAGTTTCTCTATCTGTAAAATGGGAATTATTTATAGTTGAATATTTGTTTCTGTGTGTGCCTGTCAGAATTCTGTAGACACGGCTCAGAACTAAAACAAATTGCAACCACATACATGTCAAGATACAATGAAAGACATTTGTTCTCATCCCCAGACTAGTTCTGAAAATCTCACCTCTCAAAACAAGCACAATGTCCATTTCCCAAACGTCCCCTGCCACCCAGACAAAGTTTAGACCTACAAGTTAGTTTGCAGCATGGCAAGAAGATGATCAAATCTAGGCTCTGGCACACCAATGCGAATCAGAAAACCAAAGACTGTCACCAAGAATATCACATTATCAGCCCCCGTATTAAAATCACCTGGGATTCCTACAGAGAGACATCTATGGGGAACAGTGGAAGATCCACAGGGATGGTACATGATTTGCCATGATTTCTATGGCCACAGAAGACAATCTGGGCCACAGAGAGCAGGGCCATAAGAACTAAGAATGGCTGTACTGGGTCAGACCAAAGATCCATCTCGTCCAGCGTTCTGTCTTCTGAAGCGGACATGCCGTGTGCCCCAGAGGGAATGAGCCGAACAGGGAATCATCAAGTGATCTATCCCCTGTTGCCCATTCCCAACTTCTGACAGACAGAAGCTAGG